CTGAACCCTGTACATTTATAGCAGTTTCATAGCAAAACCTTTGAAGAAATACTGTACATAGAGTAAGTAAGGAGAGGAATAGAATCACAGAATCACAGAATGGTTTGGGTTGGAAGGGACCTTAAAGATCATCCAGTTCCAACCCCCCTGCCATGGGCAGGGACACCTTCCACTAGACCAGGTTGCTCCCAGCCTCATCCAGCCTGGCCTTGGACACTTCCAGGGATGGGGCATCCACAGCTGGGGCATCCACAGCTTCTCTAGGAAGGAATAGGTGGAGAGGGATGGTTTGAAGTCATTGAAAGCAACGCATTGACCCAAATAGGTGTGGGGTGTTGCCTGCCGCTGTGGTTCGGAGCTGCGGGGAAGCCGCCCTGCTGAGCTGGCCTGGCCGCGGGAGGTTTGGCGGCTCCGTCTCCTCCCTGGCTGGACTCTTACCCTCTTGACTCGGTCCTGCTTTCCAGGCTTATAGTGAAGGGGATAATGGGCACCAGTCTGTAGGTGCTGGAAGAAAATGCCAGAGGTAAAAGAGAAAACAAAATTCATGTGGATTATCTACTGTTTTCTGCCCGCTGTGCTCAGGGGAGGCGGGAGCTGCGGGTGCGGTGGAAGCACCGAGCCGTGTTTGGAGAGGAGACGGTAGCGGCAAGATTAAAACGCTAACACGAAATTCTCTCCCTTTTTGACCCTTTTACCTCCTGTGGTTATGCTCCTCACTGGAGACAGACAAACTGTTCTTCCCTGCTCTTTTCTAAACTCAAATCCCAATTCAGTGAACTTGGTAGCATGAATGTAGCATTGTGGAACTATTGAAATCGTGTTTAACTCTGAAAGGGCCCGTTTCTGTATCCACTTGGGTGATGTCTGTAGAACTGTTGTGTATCTATCCTCATTGGCCACGTGCAGAACTCGGGGTGCACGGTAGAAGGGTGGGTCGTGCCCTTCTGCAGGAAGGTGCGTTTGGATGGGCTTCACGGGCTGTTTCACTGGTGCAGTTGACTGTGGTGTAACGACAAACGCCGAATGCATTTCTCTTTTCCAAAGATCTATATTTCTCATAGTTTGTGATGTTTGTGACATGAGCATATTATTTCCTTTGTAGCGTTCGTTTGACTAAAGAGATGAAATACTCCAAAAGCTGTGACTGGCCAGACAATAGAGTTTTGGTGTTTGAAGTCCTTTGTGCGAAGAGCGTTATTGAACTTAGTCGTTCCTGAAAAAGGGGGAGAAGGTTCTTCTCCTCTTTAACTGGTTGAATTTTCCAAGTGGCTGCTGGGAAGGGAAGTGATCAGCAAAGGATAGGATGCAGAAAAGAAAAAAAAATCACAATTATTTAAACTTTGGAGTTAAAAATAGACCTGTAACTTCCTCAGCTGGAGCAGCGTGTGAAGGATGACCTCCGGGTGCGCGCTGGCTGCGGCGCAGCGCGGTCCCAGCCGGACATCCCCTGCTCAGA